TGTGGGGGGAGGTATTGGGATGGGACCTTGGGGGGGGAGTTCTTGGTGATAGGGCCTTGGCGATGTGGGTGGGGGCTTGGGGATGAAGCCATGGGGGTGGGGGGTTTGGGGGTTTGGGGGGCTTGGGGATGGGGATGGAGCCTCACATGGCTGGGGGTTTGGGATGGAGCCTTGGCGGGAGGGGGGGGGCATGTGGATGAGGCCTGCAGTTGTCAGTGTTCAGTTTGCAGTGGCTCAGATCAGATCCTGCTTAGTGAGAATGTGACCCGGTGAGGCAGCAAGAGGGTGCAAGGTTAAGGAGCTCCAGTGAGTGTGACCTTAGCAGGATCCAGGTCATTTCTCAGGGTGGGTGGGGAGTGGGCAGGTCTTTCTTATCCTACAGGGCTCTACCCATGGGGTGTAGTGTACAAGACATGGTCAAGGGCCTTTTATATGCCCACCCACAGCCCCTGCGCATACAAGGGGTTAGAGGTCAGGGAGGCCTCAGCAGGGGCACACTGGCAAGGTGGAGTTGGGAGAGCATCACTTTCTGTTCCTTCGTGGTCCTCAGCAGGAGGCAGGAACATCAGGCCTTAGGGCCTCCCTGCTCTCAGTATATGGGAGTTCAGAGGTCCAGACAACTCACTCTAGATTCTAGAAACTTGTGCGTTCACATCTACTTCCCCGGGCTAACCAACCTGTATTTGGAACAGGAATGAGTCTCACCTCTGCTGCTTCCTAGCTTTGTCGCCTTGAGTAAAGCACTTGACCTATGGAGCCTCAGTGTCTTTGCTTAGAAAAGGAAGGTAGCAATTTTTAGTTTGTATGGTTTCAGTGAGAATTATATGAAATGATTTTAGTAGATAGCTCTGTAAGTGATTCAAATCCAAATTCACATAACTTCTCAGCGGTTCACCGGTGAGCCCTAGAAGAGACATTTTCTAGTCTCGTGTGGGCCCCCCAGTCCCTGGCAGTCTAGGGTGTGAAAAGTAAGTGATCTCCACAGAAAGAGAGCCAGAAGCAGCTGAGGAGGGTAGAAAGTTCCAGAGAAGAGACCCTTGGCCATGACACCATCCAACACTGACCAGGGTACCTGAGTCCTTTCCATAAGATTCATGTGGTTCGTCTCTTGGCGTTGTGTCTGAGACACTGTTTTACAAACGGCAGGTTTGTGGGTTGTGAGGTCAATTTCCAGAGCCGCATTATTGTTTTTCCTATTAAGACTTTATTTTTCCAGATAATTTTTAAGTTCACAGCAGAACTGAGTGGAAGTTACAAAGATTTCCCGTACGCACTCTGTCCCAACGCACGGGTAGCCTCTGCTCTCATCACAGGGCCCATGAGAGTGGTATATTTGTTAAAACTGATGAACGTGCATTGACACTTCATAATCACCCTAAGCTTACGTTACGGTACACATGATGCTTACATATGGCACACCTGATGGCTACATTATGGCTCATTCTCGGTGTTTGGACACAATATGGGTTTGGACCAATAATAATGACACATATTCATCGGTAGCTATAATACAGACTACGTTCACGGTTCTAAAAATCCTCTATTCTCCAGCATTATTTTTTCCATAAATACAATCACTCTCAGACTTAATTATCAGAGCTATTATGGCAGATAATAATGTTTTATGAATATTTTGTTTCAAATACTCGTAGGGATATAAAAGGTATTTCTATGGGGCATGATCAAAAAGTTTGAAAATCACTAGAAATAAGGCTGATCACATTGTCTCAAAATATAATCAATCCCTTTAAGAGGCACCCAGCGGAGGCATAAGATTTGGGTTTGCATTCAATCATGGACTCATCCAACAGGTGTTAATTAAGCAATAGATTTGCCCTTCACCGTGCTCTAGTCTAAAAACCCTAGGGATAAAATACCGAACATGAGAGAGAAAGTCTGAAGCCCTCGGAGCTTCCTTTAATGAAAGAGAGAGCATAAACAAATATATAATAGAGATTTTATATTTTAATAAAAAAAAATGAGTCAAAGACGAATAAGAGAGGTGTAGGGCTCATTAAAATGTATTATACCATTTTTAAAAAGTAGTTGAAAATGCTTATTACATTTCAGGCCCATCTCCTGAAATGAGACTACAGGAAAAACTGAAAGAGTGTGCAAGAGGCTTAAGTTATGACAAGCATCAAAATGCTAAAGAGGATTATTTCTCTCGATATCTTTCATAAAATACTGAATTTAAAGGATCCAAAGTAGTGTTGCCTGAGATACTAATACTGTGTGCTGTGTAAAGGCATTGTAAATTCATATTGTCAAGTATTTTAGCTGGGAACAGTAAAGGACGTCACATGGAGTCTGCACTTTCTTGATCTTTAATGTCAGTAAATATCCAAAATCAATAATAAAACCAAAACAACTAGGCATAGGCACTCAATAAAGATAGAGTGAGAGGCTGAGGAAGGTCAGGTATGAAAATAAAACGATTCAATGTACTTTTTACCTGTATCTTAAACTAACAGCAAAACATTGAATTTGACACCTCATTGTTTTAAATGCTCAGTTAGGAGAGCTTGAACCAACACGATTAAATTGGATTTATAAATATTTATTACTATTCATAATAACAGAAATCCACTAATATATATCCGTTGTTCAATAACATTCATATAACTGTAAAAGTACTCTACTGTTCAGAAACAATTTTTAAATACGAGAGTAATTTATAATAGGCGTGCAAAGTGCCATTTATCCCAAACACATGTTCTAGCGGTAACAATTTGCTAAAAGGGTAGGTCAGGATGTGACGCTACTTTTTATCATATACTCTTTTCCTTAAAGTAAAACACAAGAGTGGTGTTTTCCACTACATTTTCAAATTTGCTTGGCTTTTTCACCAGCTCATAAAAGCCACAGTGGAAAACAAATGAAAGGGGGCTTGTGTCATTTTCACAGGTGGCTCATACCAGTATTTTTTTTTTTAAACTTGTACAGCCTTTAAGTTACAACTCGGTGCAGGACCTTTGTCTTGACTATGGCAACCATGGAACGAAGCCTACCGTCTTCAAAGAGGACATCGAGGCATCATCCTCCACTCACCCATCTCAGAGAAAGCCAGGCACTCTGACCTAAAACTCCCGATTTCTGCTCTGCCGGTGACCACCGAGCTTTGGCAGTATTGAACTTGCATGGGACATAGATCCGTTCCTCCCAAATGAGGGTGTTCTACTAGATGACCTTCAAGATTTCTTTTGGAAATCTATTTTGTTTCCTTTGTTAAGCTTTTCCATCTCTGTCTCTCTCTCCTCTTCTCTCTTTCCTGCCCCCCCCCCCATTTTACCACGGTCTATATGTGTGGCTTTATCAAGCTCAAATGCATTTTAAATAGTCGTTGGAAAAAGCACGTGCAAGAATGACAGTATTCTGCAAACTTGAACGGGCGGATCCTTGAAATGTCACTCACTCATGTGTGTGTCAGCCCCCCTTATCTGCGGTTTCCCTTTCCACAGGTCAGCCGAGGTCCAGACCCCACGAAACCTCCTCCCGCCGAATCTTTGGAAAGTCAGCAGTAGCCTAGCTCTGTGTCACCGTGCCTGCGACCGTCCTCACCTCCTACCATCTCATCTGGCAGGCATTTGCTCACGTCAACTCCTCATAAGAAGCGTGAGTCCAGCAAGATATTTGAGAGAGAGACCACCTCCCCATAACTTGTAGGACCGTATAATAAAATTGTTATAATTGTTCACTAGTTACTGTCGTCAATCTCTCAATGTGCCTGGTTCATAAATTAAACTTTATCATACACTCAAAGGTTCATTTATCATCCAATCCTAATAGTTACTTTTGCTTTCAAAATTCTGTTTTCTCTATGAAACCAGTGGTTCTAAGGCATAACAATACAGACAAGGAGAATATGTTTTAGTGGTGGAAATAATGAAGGAGATGAAATATAACTGATTAAAATCACGACAGACTTAGAACAGAGACAAGATAAACTGTCTGCTTTTTTTTTTTTTCAACGTTTATTTATTTTTGGGACAGAGAGAGACAGAGCATGAACGGGGGAGGGGCAGAGAGAGAGGGAGACACAGAATCGGAAACAGGCTCCAGGCTCTGAGCCGTCAGCCCAGAGCCCGATGCGGGGCTCGAACTCACGGACCGCGAGATCGTGACCTGGCTGAAGTCGGACGCTTAACCGACTGCGCCACCCAGGCGCCCCATAAACTGTCTGCTTTAAGACAGTTAGCAAAACGATTTCGACCTAGGGTTTGGCTCAGAAAAACCGGATTAAACTCCGTTTATTTTTGTAATTGAATAAAAGATAATGTTTAAATCGTTGGTGCCAAAAAATTAAATTGAATATTCATAAGATGACAAACCG